CCTCCCCACAGCTGGACACAGCTGGAGCTGGGAAGGTCTGAGTGCCCTCCCCACAGCTTGCATGCCAACACCACCTGCTGCTGCTTATTTTCAGACGGTTTTTCCAAACTGCTTGCGACGTCCCAGAGCTGCAGGATAAATTTAACGTGGATGAGTATTCTGACCTAGTCACCCTCACCAAGCCGGTAATCTACATTTCCATTGGCGAAATCATCAACACCCACACTGTAAGTGTTTCCCCTTAATTACTTAATTTCATCACACTGCCTTTAATTACCTTCCCTGGCACCTGTTTCCTCTCTGATGGCCAGGTGTCTCATTTTGCTGTGATCTTGTTTTGTGTTTTTCAAGACAGGGTTTCTCTGTGTAGCCCTGGCTGTCCTGGAACTCACTCTGTAGTCCAGGCTGGCCTTGAACTCAGAGATCCGCCTGCCTCTGCCTCCTGAGTGCTGGGATTAAAGGCGTGCGCCATCACCTCCTGTACTTAGCTGTCATCTTAACTGACCACAGTCCCTTGTGTTTTCTCTTTCTTTTCTATTGCTGCTCTTTGGTGGTGTCGGGAATCAAATTCAGGCTCTTGTCTGTGCTACGTGCTCTGTCTTTGAGCCACACCCCAGCTCTGCTTCATATTTGACATGTCTGCTGCTCTGCAAGTTACCCCAAGCCACCTGCTTCAGAATCATCCATGCTGACATTGAAAAGTGATGTTTGCCAGACATATGACAGGTGTCCTGACCCAGAATCCCTAGGAATGGACTCCAGAAAGTGCATTGTGAGCACTGTCTTAGTGGCCTGATAAATCCTCTATAACCAGCCGACTGCCTACTCCTATTACATGGCCTAGAGCACCAGCTCCTCCTCCTCTGTGCCTGTGGAGTTTTCCTTTGAGAGCTCCCCATTTCTGCAGATTTTTCAGGCACAATTTCCTTCTCCCTCGGGGACTGTACATCAAGCAGTAGTACATTCATGAGGACATTAGCTGGGATAGTAGCATGCGTGAGGCTTGGTTGCATGGTACTAAGATAATGTCTTGAGGCTTCTTTTCTGAATTAAAAGACTGTACATTGGCAGAGTTTAAAACCTGGCATTAGAAAACAATAACACAAAGCAAAAACAACCAAAACAAGCTATGTCCCCAGAACCCTGAGTAATTCTCAGTATGTCGTTGTATTGGTGCTTGTTGGGTGTAGTGATGAATTGAGTCTGTGTCCTGTGACTTGCTTACCTGGGAGGATTTAAATCAGGAGGGAGCAAGGCCAGGATTCCCTGGTGTTTCACAGTGCACGCTGCTCCATGAAGTTCAGTGTGCTGCTTGGTCCCTCCTGCTCTTGACTAGGTTAACCTGTTTGTGTTTGGGTGTGGTGGTCTTGTTGTCTGGCCTCTCGTGCAGATCCCTGTTGGGCCTTGCCACTGGGGACAGAGGGTTGAGGGTGAACGGGGTCAATCACTGTGTCCTTGCAGCTCCTGCTGGACCATCAGGATGCCATTGCTCCGGAGCACAATGACCCCATCCACGAACTGCTGGACGACCTTGGCGAGGTGCCCACCATTGAGTCCCTGATAGGTAATGTTCTTAATTAGCTTCTAAGAAGCTGAGAGGGGAACCTGGCAGAGATCATTGTCTCTGATTTTGCCCTGTATCAAATTCTAGATACTCTGTGGGAGACAGAAGCAATGTAGGCCCCAATCTGTGAGCAGCTGCGTCCAGTGAAACACATACTTTCAAACACAAAGACAAAAATAATCATAGATAATTAGAAAGTGCAAGGCTTATAAAGGAAAAGCTATTTTGAGGGAGAATTTCAATGTTACATGGTTAAAATTTTTTGAGATGGGGGGGATCTCACTTTGTAGTCCTGCCTGGCTTGGAACTCACTAGAAGACCAGGCTGGCTTCACATTCCCAGAGATCTACTTCTGTCCGCCTCCTGAAGGCTGGACTAGAGGTGTGCAACACTGTGCCCAGGGAAATGATTTTTCACACATTTATGAAGTTACTGTATTCTGGACCCTTCTCCTTAACCATCTGGCATATTTTCCTTTACTTCTCAGTAAAAACTGCTTGCCACACATCAGTGTCTTGGTTTCTCAAGAGTCACACTGGACCTGCATCATATTTATTTGCATTATTTTCCCTCCAATGTGTCTTTTTATTACATTGACTCTTTCTACGTTCCCAAAACTGCAGGGGAAAGTTGCGGCAGTTTAAATGACCCCAACAAGGAGGCACTGGCTAAGACAGAGGTGTCCCTCACGTTGACCAACAAGTTTGATGTGCCCGGTGACGAGAATGCAGAGATGGACGCTCGGACCATCCTGCTGAAGTGAGTACTGAAGGGAACGGCCGTGCTGGCCTCTCTTGACCGTCACAGTACCCATCACCCTGTCCTGGACTCGGCACAGGACTTAGTTTGCCAACCTACAGTTACAGTCTTAGAACTCCTCCCTGTGGCACCTGTTGGAGTTCCCGTGTTCCTTGTGCCCGTGACTGCCCCTGTGGGCAAGGCTTTGTGGTCGTGATGATGGTGCTGCGGCTGCTGCTGAGATCCAGTGACAAGGAGGTAGAGCACACAGCCGTGTTAAAACCCAGTCCCATCTCGTTGCAGCACAAAACGTCTAATTGTGGATGTCATCCGGTTCCAGCCAGGAGACACCTTGACTGAAATCCTAGAGACACCAGCCACCAATGAACAGGTACACGAAGGTTTCATACTCATCTTCCTAAACTGGATAAACTCCTCTATGATGGGTGTATCCCTAGATGGGGGATAGAGGTTCAGGGAAGGTATTGGACCCTAGGGTGAGCATGGGTCTAACTTTGGGACAGTCATAATTTGGGCTCATCTGACTGAGAAAGTTGGTGACTCCTAAATCCAGAAGATGTTCTTAGGACATGAAACTCCCTTGCCCTTACAATCAGACAAGAGAATAGAGGGGAAGAGGAGAGGGAGATGGAGAATATAGGATGGATGAGAATTTAATCAGGAACAGAACAGTCTGTCTAGTAATTTAATGACTGTCTTATAGTTGTTATGTGGCTTTCAAGGAAGCCAATAATCTGGATTCACAGTTGTATTTTGCTAGGTGGAGTGAGATATCTCACCTTATGCTCTTCCTCATCTGGCATTTAGTACAGGGCGGAAATTTGCAGCAGAGTTTGAGAACTCTGCATTCGAGTGCAGATACGCTGTATGAGTCCATGTTTAGGGCTCCAATGGTGAACTTACCAAGAAGTTTTTTGGTTTCTTTTTTCATCTGTAGGAGGCTGAACATCAGAGAGCCATGCAGAGACGTGCTATCCGGGATGCCAAAACCCCTGACAAGATGAAAAAGTCAAAACCCATGAAGGAGGATAGCAACCTCAGCCTTCAGGAGAAGAAGGAGAAAATTCAGACTGGCCTCAAGAAGCTAACAGAGCTCGGGACCGTGGACCCAAAGAACAAATACCAGGAACTCATTAACGACATTGCCAAGGTACTGCATATGGGGAAGAGTGGTGGCCGGCCTTGTTTACAGCTGCTTCAGGAGCTCAGACTGACAGAAGCCACTCAGACCACAGCATAGCTTCTCATATGCAGAATAGTACAGTCTCAGGACCAGTCTCTGACTCTCACACCAGGACTTCACTCCCTGAGGTGGATTTTTTGTTTGGTCTAAATTCATGAGGCGACGGCCTTCAGTAGAGCTTCCAGTGTCTGAGTTTTTTGTTACCTGTGAAGAATCCTTCAGGCCTTTCTCATAATTGCTATGGAATATATAAAGCTGGTGATCATATGATCGACTTGATTTGTGAGAACCACCCCAAGCCAGGGCTCAGAGTTCTAATTTCACTGATTTAATGCTGTTTGCACTGAAGAACTTGGTTCTTCTCCTTCCCTCTCAGGATAGCATGTTTATGAGGTTTAGACCAGCTTTGTAAGTAAAGTCTAAAACCACGAAAATCTGAGCACACAGCTCCCTATTGCTAGAGGATATAGGCAGACGAGAGCTGAGTTTCTTTTGGTTGTGAACACGGGTCGCTGCCTGTTAGGAACAGTTGGCATGTTTGAGTTCAGCCCGCTGGGTCGTAGAGCGCCTGAAGGGTGATGGTTCAGGAGGCACAGGCTGCCTGTCCTCGGTTTCCTGATTGTCCTGCCTGTGCTCCAGGACATCCGGAATCAGCGGAGATACAGACAGAGGAGGAAAGCCGAGCTGGTGAAACTGCAGCAGACGTACGCGGCTCTGAACTCGAAGGCCACCTTTTACGGAGAGCAGGTGGATTACTACAAGAGCTATATCAAAACCTGCTTGGATAACTTGGCCAGCAAGGGCAAGTGAGTCTTTGCTTTTAATTCTTCCCGGGCAAGGGTTGGGGGGGGGTGGGAAGAAGTAGAAACTGCTCCAGAGTGGCAGTGGGAGAAGTGTTTTCGAGTGTCACTAAATTTACTACTGTTACTGTGGGGAGAGAGGGTGCATGTGCGGGGCTCAGAGGACGACTCCCAGGAGTCCTCTCGGTCCGCCATAGCTTCCAGGAGCTGTGACCTGAGCCAGGTCCTCAGGGTCCTGAAGCAAGTGCTTTACTTGCTGAGTCTTACTGCTGGCTCGATACTGAATTTCTTTTTTCTTTTTCTTTCTTTCTTTCTTTCTTTCTTTCTTTCTTTCTTTCTTTCTTTCTTTCTTTCTTTCTTTCTTTCTTTCTCTCTCTCTCTCTCTCTCTCTCTCTCTCTCTCTCTCTCCTTCCTCCCTCTTTCTTTCTTTCTTTCTTTCTTTCTTTCTTTCTTTCTTTCTTTCTTTCTTTCT